TAATAAATCACCATTACCATCCTCCCAGGCTCGTAGCCAGCAAGCAAGGTATAAAAAAGTCTAGCAACCAAAAACAGCATCTGCTCTTCTCTTTCTTTCATTCTCTCTCACACTCTCTCTGTTTTCCTTTCTGTTTGTTTTCGTTATTCTAATTTTAAAAAATATATACAGAGAGAGAGAAAAGGAGAACGATTAGGAGGCGAGAGAGAAATGACGACTATCGATGAAAGTGCTGGTGCTAAGAGGTGGCTTCCTCTTGAAGCTAACCCTGATGTTATGAATCAGGTGCCCTACTACACCAGTAATGTTCTATTTTTTTATTTATTTTGAAAACAATTGATTTCTTATGTGTTTGATTGATTGGATGCTACGAATGGAAGAGATAATACAGTACTAATTTTGTTTTTCAGTCATTTAATTTTTTTAAAAAAGAAAAGAAGTAATGTTTAGAATCTGTTTGATAATTATTATTGTTTCAAACTAAAAAATGGTTAGTTAGGGTTTTGTGAATGATTTGGTTCTGCTAGATTTATGGATTGAGAAGAGTGAAGGAGATATTTTTGGTTTCAAGAGGAATTTAGTCAGTGATTGGATTGGTTTGTTGTTTCATGGTGATTAGAGATGCTCTTTTTTTTCTTCCTATGTGTGCTGTGTTTGGTTGCTGAGAAAAAATTGGCGAAATGGTTGAGAAATGGAAATTAATGGCATAGAGGATCAGTTTGGTTTAGTTGATTTCTTCTTAAGAAGGAAAAATAAAAATAATTTTTTTACAGATTGCTTCTGAAATGCCATTTTCATTTCATAGTGTCTCTCTTTTTCAACATTCTCTTCATTGAATCTGTGTTGATATTTTCGTCATTGTGCAGTTTCTTTGGGGGCTAGGACTTCCACTGGATGAAGCAGAGTGCTGTGATGTTTATGGCTTGGATGAGGAACTCCTGGAAATGGTTCCAAAGCCTGTACTTGCTGTTTTGTTTCTATATCCTATAACAGCACAGGTTTTTGTTCTTTCTTGCCAAGTTCTGTTGTGACTGCATTTCTTGTACTTAACTGCTATGTGGATTTTCTTTTTTACTTATGCATCTACACTAACGTGTATAAACAGCTCGTCCTTCCTATCCTCCTTCTGCTTTTATGATTTCTCTTGAATATCTTTGGAATTCTTTAATTCAAGTTTTCATGTTTACTGAAGGTATATTTAATAGTTTTTCATGAGTAAGATTTAGTAGATTCAAGAGCAACAACCATCCACATCCGCTAGACTTCTAAACTCCTTTCTTGATCATGACCTTTCTAGCAAATGAAGTTTAATTTCCCCAAAAGATGTACTTTATTGCATTTTGCAAAGCTAGTGTGAATATATGAATCTGCTGATTTTGGGAAAATCTTATTTCTTAATCCAGAGTGAAGCTGAGAGAATTCAGCAGGAAAGCATTGAAACGGTGAGTACAGTGGCATTTGATCATCGGTTGAATGTAACTTCTTTGCATTAATTGGCATGCATCATGTTTGTCACTAGAATTCTTTTTGTTCAATCTTAGTGAAAAATTTTGAATTGTTCAACTGGACTTGTAAAAATTATGGAAAATGATAAAGAGAATTAATCAGTCAGATGCTCCCATTGTGTGTCAAAGATCCAAGGTTTATATGTTGAGCATTGTTATCAAATGCATTTACCTTTTGCCCACAATTTATTTCACTTTGCTTTGTCCACAAATAGAATGTTCTTGACTTCTGGTTCATTTTGCTTTGATAATTCAATTGCCATTGCCATTTCTTCATGTTTTTTGGGTGTAGGATCCAAGCAGTAAAGTTTATTTCATGAAGCAAACCGTGGGTAATGCTTGCGGAACAATAGGACTCCTTCATGCTGTTGGGAATATCACTTCAGAGATCAAGCTCAGTAAGTATTTCATGCCATCTGTTTTAGCAAGTGAAAACTGAAATATAGTCCTGGAATCACCCCCACCCCTGTAGAAAAAAAAACACAAGGTTTCCCTCCTGTTTATATAATTAAATCATGATATCAAAGCTCTTAAAAGCTTCAATATGCATTTCATAACCAGTTCTGAATGCCCGTAGCTCCCCAAAATAAATATAAATAAAATTGATCAAAGAAAAGAGAAAAGGCTTCTTGTTTAATTTGGTGGGAGCCTTGAAGGGAATCAGTGGAGTAAAAAACATCAGGAATTGGATACAGATGGGCTTTGCTTCCAAATCATCCGTGTGAGTGGTTTCAATTGTTTTAGATTTTGAATTTATAGGATGAATTCTGACAGGCTGCATAGAGGGCAACAAGACTTTGCTTCTGAATCACATGGAAGGATCTATTATACTGTTATATCTATATGTACTTTTCATTGCATGGATTCTGCCATGCAATGTGATTGCATTCTCAATCATTTGCCATTCTTGTTTTGACAATTTGGATCATGCGGAAATCTATGAGGTTGCTATCTCTAAATGGCATAAATAGCCATTGTGTGATTGTAAACTTGCCATCCCAGGCACATTTAATGTTTTAGTTAATTCAGTATCAACAATGAGTGTTTTTTCACCTGAGAAGCATGCCGTCTTTTGTGAATTCATACTTCCTGTCAATGTGAATTGTTGTGAACTAAGGACTCAATGCATCTTCCAATATTATCAGGATCATTACCACATGATTTGAAGTCCTTGTCACTAAAACTATTACTTATTTTTTTGTTGTATGACCTTTTATTTTCAGCTGGCGGGTCATTCTTCGATAGATTTTTCAAATCAACTGCAAACATGGATCCATTGGAGGTTTTATTTTAGTTCTTTTTTGTCTTTGGCTATTCTGCCGCTGCTCTGTCTCCCTTCTTCTGCCCCAAAAAATTCATGTCTACAGAGTTTTTGATGTTTTGATGATGAATCTTATGATTGCATCCTTTTCTACCTTGTGACATCTTCATTTTATTCATGTAGCGAGCAAGATTTCTTGAGAATGACAGAGAAATGGAAGATGCTCATTCTGTAGCGGCCACAGGAGGTGATACAGAGGTGAGTGCTTTGGTAATTACAATTTTAGTGACTAGCGATGGAATGTTGTATTTTATCTGGTGACATCATGTGTATTTATAAACATAAGGAGGCATGAAGAATAAGCCTTCTTATTTACTCTGTTTTATTTTTATTCTTGGCATGGGCAGGAAACCCCTATGATGATAAGAGAAAACAGTAATAGATCATAGTATTTAATCAAGCTATGTTTCCTTAACAAGTGATCAAACTGATAAAGGATTTATCTTATTCTAATTGATGCACAGGAATTTTATTTTTTTTAATGCGCATGCTGGTTAAGAAATATACATAAGGCTGTCAGTATTTATGTTTTTTACTGGAGAAAATAATTATTATTATGTTCCAGAGAGTTAAGAACCTTAAGCATAGGTGCTAAAGAACTGAGTTGGATCTCTGGAGGTTGGATGAGAATTGTTTGCCTCAAGCTAGCATAATTGGGTCAATTACCTGTGTTAGAAACATGTCATAACTACATGAGCTTCATTGACCCATGGCAAAATTCAGCAAATAGGCTCTTTGAGGCTCAATGAAATCTTCATGGTTTTTAACCAGTTTAATTTGGAGAATAGGTTGGAGTTGGAGAAATTAATGAGGAGGTTGGATCTTGAAAGAGCTAGAAAGACGGACTGATGAACTGACTTTGGGAGAAACGTAGGATGAAACTATTTTCATTGGGGAAAGGGTCTGGGCTTGGGCTTTTAATATGTGAAGTTGCAGGTATGGCATTATTTCTCATGTTTGATGGGGGAATAAGGGGCGGCTATGGTTGTAAAGGCTCTGCAATGAAACTCAATGACCAAAATCAATAAACTTTGTTGAAAAGTAGCAATATTTTTGCTCCATCTTCATTTTGCTTGATTGAGGTCATTCCTTTTGATTTCTTGTTAATTGTTGGTTGTGCAGGCTACGGAAAATGTGGACACTCATTTTATCTGCTTCACCTGTGTAGATGGTAAATACTAAAATACTTGACTTCTCTTTCTCTATGCTTGTTTAAAGAATTAAAAAAGAAAAAATGTGATTTTCTTAATTCATGATCCTAAATCATAGTTATGTTGTACATAGGAAAACTTTTTGAGCTTGATGGAAGAAAATCTGGGCCAATATCTCATGGTGCATCCTCACCAGGCAGCTTGCTACAGGTATAGATTACAATCCTTTAGTTTATTTTATTGTTCTTTTAAACATTAAGTGTACGTGATTGCTAAGAAGGGAACATTAGAGATAAATGTGTATTGATTTTGTTGTCTGCATAAACATTTAGAGTATGTGATTGCTGGGAAGGGAACATTATAGATAAATGTTTTTGGGTAATAGGAATATTGAAACAATTAGAATGAAGCACAAATGATAATTTTAAGCACTGAAAGGATTATTGCTTTAATTACCAAGTGGAAGTCGTTGAATATTGTGGCTTAGAAAGTTTTTTGGTGCACAAAATTTTTGTTTTAGAGGCCTTGCTGCTGAAGATGTTCTGAGCTAAGAACAAGACTCTCCCTTTATGCTTAAAAATTCAAGAAACCTGTCTTGTCAACTCTATGCTGTTTCTCCTGTGCTCAGCCTTTTGGTCGGTCATGACAGTTTTTTGAACTTTCAAACCCTATCCAAAACTATGCTGCAGGCAGGCCTTAATCTGGAAAAATTTTAAATGTAATTTACGTCAAGGGATGAACATTTGAGTTTGTATGTATTTTAATGACCTTTATTGCATGACAGGATGCTGCTAAAGTCATACAAGGCATGATCGAGAAAAATCCTGGCTCGCTCAACTTTAATGTAATTGCAATTTCAAAGAGAGCGTAGGTTTCAGTCCAAGGTTGGTGTTTTGATCTCATCCAGGCGCAGATGGTTGCAATTTTAGGCAATGCTCGGTAGAATATATCGTAATGGAAGGGAAAGGGATAACAGATGCACGTTTCCTCTTTTCATCACTTCACATTCTACCAAACATGTTATTAGTTCTCCGTCGTCAATGTAGCTAGGTATCTCTGCACCTGAAATCTTTTCGTTTTTTACTTCCATCAAACATTTTAGCACAAAACTCTGCCTGCTTTACCAAGAAATAAAAACCTTTTTCATGTGCGTTGGGATCATGTTATCTTACCACTCATCATTTGTGTTCAAGATGCGTTTTGGGGATCATTTCTTTGCGATATCCTTGCAAACAAATCACATCGGCAGCCATAGATTCCAAACACAGTGCCAGATATTGCGGAGTTACGGCTCATGCATTGAGAGGTAAACAAACGTAGGGAAATAAATGAACTTTGAGATACCTGTTGCGTGGTATCCTTGAAGACTAGATAAAGATGGACATGGGAGGAAGCAAAGGAACTTGGGCTCATCCTCCTAACATTTGCATAACCATCTTCATCTTCGTTTTAGGCCTTCTAAAAGAAACCTATTGAATTTACCACATTGCAATGTTAGTCCCCACCAACAACTTTGATCGGAAGTGTATTAATAATTATGTTTTAAAATATATATTAAAATAATATTTTTTTATTAATATCTTAAAAATATAAAAATATAATTTTAAACAAAAAAATTATTTTTTTTAGGATGTTGTTTGAAATGCAATTTTGAATTACTATATTGATTGAATTCAATCCATTAATTTTCAAGAATTAAAATATATATTTGGTTAAAAATATGATTGAAGTTACATTTTTCAAATAATTTAATGTATTTGGTTAATATATATATATATATATATAGTTTTTAATTTAAATATAGTATATTTAATTACTGTTATTACATCAATAAATAAATAATACTCTGTATAAAATATTTTTTATTGTTTCAATAAATTATCTATAATTTCATCACATACAAAATCTATTTAACAAAAATTATAGTTTTTATGATTTTCTGAGCGTGCAAAAATATCAAGTAAAATATCATCATGAACAAAATTGAGATTACGATCAAATTTTATAAATGTTACGTCATCATGTGATCTTCTTTATAATTCATGTAGTGTCATTAAATAATGTTAAACACTAGTTTTTCAAATAAAACACAATTAAAAATAAAATAAAATAATTGAATTTTTTAATGGATGGGACCTTCCAATGCATTTAAATTTGGGATGGACTAAGTCCAGCCATGAACAGTGAAGATGTCCTCTAGTGTTCACTTTACAAGAGTGAATAATAGAGAGTGGAACTCTTTATCGTGAAGATGGCGGGAGAAGAAAAAATAGCTTGAAGTTGCTTTTGGTAAACCTGCATTTTGAATATAAATTATACAGGATCCCACAAACAATAAATTATTAACCAAACAGTTTTTTTCTATGGTCTGCTTCAAATGTAAATGCAACCACATAAATAAACACTCTTTATTAATCTAAATAAATAATCTCATCAGCTTTTGATATACGAGTTCATGAGTAATGGTATTTTAGCAAACTCCATCTTTACATTTTCAAGACCTAATTGGCATAAGATAGTTAAGATTGCATTTAAGATTGTAAAAGGGTTTCTATGTATACATAATGTTTACCTAAAATAAATAAATATTTTTTTACGTCTCAACCAAATAAAAATAGTAATTATTCATATTTAATAATTAGGGAATGAAAGATTGAAATTGAGCATATAAAATCATTCAAGCTTAAAAAATCCTAATCGATTAGGAAAAATCAAAAGCTATTGACCAAAATGATCAATTTGGTGCATTCGAGTAACTAGAACTTCAATCTACTCAAAACACGAGTTATTAGTAGATTGAACTAATCAAGTGTTGTAAATTGATTGGGATTCTTTTCATTATCAATAAAAAGTATTTTCAATTGTATTAGGATTCAACTAGATTGGCAACCTATGTTATATCGTGTATTGGATCAAAATATTTTTTAATGTAAAAAAAGAAGAAGAATAACTAGACATTGCTAGCATGCTTTCTAGAAATAAGAAAGATTTGCAACTCGAATCATAAACCTAACTGGGTTCAATAATTTCACCTAATTCATTCATATGATAACAAAAAAAGGCAATCATGATAAATGAACCGAATTAAACAAAAACAAATTGAAGGAAGAATCTGGAGAAAAAAATTTAATTTTTAAAAAAGAATCTAAAAAACTATTTGGGTCAGTTTTTCAAGCACGTAACTCAAGTCATGAAAAAATGATACCTCCATAAAATACAAATAAAAAAAAATTATGAAGTTCAATTTTCATCTAATTCAATGTTAAAGAACAAAATAGGAAAAGAAGTCAATTAAAAAAAATAACTTAAGTTAATCTGTCAAATTCGCAACTTATATTGTGAGACCTGGATAACTTAACATAAAAAAAACTAAAATAAATTACAAAATTCAATTATCAACCAACATGGTAAAGAAGTAATATAAAAGGATGAAATTAAAAAAAAATCAATTAACAAAAAGGATTGAAAAAATCCTAAGAAAACCTAGATAAACCTATTAAACCTATAACTTGGGTCATGAAACCAAAATAACCATATAAAAGCAAACTAAAAAAATAACAAGAAAGTCAGACACAAAAATTAAGCAGAGAAAAAAGAAAGAAAAAAAAAAGATGGTTTGTCAAAGCCAAACCAGAGATTCTATATCAACACGCATCGTTGATGAAGAAACCCGAGATCCTCTAAAGGTCAATTGCCACCGTAATGTGGCCACCTTCCTCACACACGCCAACAAATTTTCCTTATTTGTTTAAATTAATCCTTGATTTGAAAATTTAACAAGTTTTGAAGTTAGTCCTTAAAGCTTCAATTATTTTAAATTAATAAAATCAAATTTTATTTTTCAAAACCGAGTATTAACTAAATATATAATTCTTTTCTTGATATTTTGAGAATCCTATGCAAATTGAACTAAGATAAAGCTTCAAGTCTGATTTCTAATTAACTTAATATAAAAACAGAAAAAATTAAAATAAGAAAACTTGAATTAAAAAAAAAAATCAATCGATGGTGTTTTGTTATCTTTATTCGTGAAATTAAATTTTTCATTATAGTTTCTTCTTTATTTGAAGGGGAAAAGCGAAGAACAAGTAAGAATATTAACAAGGAAATTAATAATTGGTCAAGTGATCAATGATATATCACACTAGCAGCAACACATGAAGAATGTGATTTCCCAATCATCCACTGTGATATTAAGCCTCAAAACATACTCTAGATTATTATCTCGATGCAGGAATAACCGCCTGGGTTGGAAAAATTGCTACTCTCAAATCAACCTCGAACCCATACGATGATCGGAGGGACACGATCGAGTCTATGTGCCCTGTGAATGGTTCAAGAATGCGCCTGTAACTGCTAAAGTGGATGTCTACAGTTTTGGTGCGCTGTTCTTGGAGATCAGTAACGGACCTTGAAGGAGGAGAAAGAGCAGTTCTTCCAGATTGGGCTTATGATGGCAGTGTTGGAGGGAGCATTCATCTTTCGGTGGACAACGACAGGATGGCGACGGATTACAGAGAGCGAGAGAGAGGCTGCAAAGGTGAGTAGAGATGTCAATGTGGTGGAGGGACCTGCAATGAAGATGGTGGTACGGTCCCCTTCTCCCTTCAGCTCATTCCAAGTCAATGGTCATGAGTCCATTTCTTAATTTGCACTAAACAATTTCGTGTAGTGTTGGGTCTGTGGTGTAGGAACTCAGGTTTTTGAACAACCATGACTATTTACAGGATCATGAAGTATATACTTACAAATATACAAAAACCTACCTGTGAGTTGCATGTTATTTTGATTGACATTCTTCTAAATTATTTTTTCTTAGTTCAACTCTGAAACTCTGTTTCGATTGACATTTCCTTTATTACACTGTAAATACGTAGCCCGTTTACTGTGCAAATCTACTTGGGGATTGCCATGGTGTTTTTATCCTAAGAATTTAATGTTGTCTTTGAATTCCTTTTTGTTGCCATGCTAAACTTCATTCTTCTTGTATATTAGGTTCTTTGATGAAGTAATTTCAAACTCAAAACCTGGTTTATAGTTCTGGAAGGTTAGCTTAGATTTTAGAATTTTTTTTAGAATTGTTTTTTTTTAATTTTTTTTTTATTAATGTTAGGTTTGTTTGAATTTTGTTTTATTATTTATTATTTTTTATGATATTATTCTGATTTTTTTATATAAAAAATTACATATAGATTAATTCATGTTGAATGTTGCTTGGGAGGATGACTACTGAGTCAACATCCAATTCACTTATTCTTTGAAAGTATTATTATCACTTGAACATTTATTTTTTCAGGCCCGCATTATAGCACGAAGCTGAAGGTCCTCTACTTCTCTTGCTTTCTCGCCCTTCACCGAATTCTACAGGAGCCACTAAACATACGTTTGCTTAACTAGGCTCCTGTTCCATTTTATTTTCCCTTCACTGATCAAATAAAAGTTTTTAATGGTTCCAAAAGAGAGAGCGAGGGCAATTATCAGGGGTTTGGTGTGATAATTAAGAGGTACATACTCTTGATGGTGGGCACAAATTCGAGCTTGCGAAGGAGAAGAAAGGCTCAAGATCGAGTCCAATTCAAAACCGAGGCCGAAGAGAAGAAGAAGAAGAAGGGAACTGAAACTGAGCCCAAGAGGAGAGGAAATTGGTTTAGACCAGAGCGCATCAATCCTCTCATTTTGCGTGTTTAGTGTAATTCTCTATTTAATTTTGACATGATAAGCATAAAATAGTGTGAAGACACGTTTATACTTTTTTTTCTTTATTCTTTTTTAATGTGATGTTCGAGTTATTTTCAAATTTTAAAATTAACAATTATATAATTGTTTAATGATTTAGTAAACTCAGACTCATAATCAGTGAACTAACCAATTTAACTATTAATACTTCAGCCATTTATGACAGTGTAGCCATCCACGATAACAATGGAACTGTCTATAATAACAGTGCGACAATCCACAATGAAGGTGGTCATTCTGCATGATCACGTAGCAAGAAAATTTCTCTTTGAAACTGTCAAATTTTGTCTGTGTCATGTATATATTAAAGACTTGAGCTGTCAAATTTTGTGTGTCATGTATATATTAAAGACTTGAGCTTGGTGTCCCATTCAAATTTTGTCGAAAGAAAGAAAAAAACAGCAGGCGACAATGGAGATAGAGGAAGGGCAAGCCCAAGTAATCCAAACGTTCGTGAACAAAGCCTCAACTCTTGAAACCACCTCCTTTCTCGCCAACCTCATCGTTGAAGCCACTTCTCACCCTTCTCTTTTCGCTTTTTCCGAGATTTTATCTCTCCCTAATATCCTCCAGGTTTTCTTTTCTTCTTTATTTTATTTTAGCTAATAAATTAATTGGTGCGTTCAACAATGTTCTTCTCTGTGTTTTTAATTGTTTAGCTTCTTGTAGAGAAATTGATTTATTTTAAACCTGAATTCTCAATGGCAGCTTCAAGGAACTGAGGATTCTGCTTATATTGACTTGCTTCGCTTATTTGGTTATGGAACCTCACGTGATTACAAAGGTAAAAGAAACAAACTTTACCCTTTTTTTTGGCTGTCAATTTTGTTTTGTGGGTTGGCTTTATCTATCTCCTACAAGCAATGCACTTGATTGTTTTCTTTTCTTTTCTTTCTTCTTTAGATTGTGCGTGTAGGTTTGTTTTTTCATGTTTGAATATTTATAGATTTGTAATCCTCAAGGTGATTCTGCTATGCTGCCAAAGTTGTCACAGGATCAAATCCTCAAGCTCAAACGACTCACTGTGCTTACTCTTTCTGAGACCAATAAGGTACTGGATTTTAACTAATGTTAGTTTTTTTTCTCATTTGAAATTCTTGAAATTTATGCGCTGGATCGAATTTATAGCTGCAATTGGAGTGAACTCCTTTATTTTGTTTGTTTCGTTTCGTGGGATTTCAGTTTGTCTTGCAAAATTAGAATTTTATGCTCGAGTTTTTCCCTTCGCTTCATGTTCTACAGGATAAACTCTTTATTGTTTTCATATTCTCCATTAAGAAAAAAAATGCTATTTTGCTGTTATAATTTTAGTTACTCCTTATAGGTTCTCTCTTACAATAAACGTCAAGAGGAACATGAGGTTTCTAATGTGCGTGAACGTGAAGACTTACTTATAAATGACTGCATGATACGGTAGGTCTCCCCGTTTCTGCATCAGGTACTGGAAACATGTACCTGCCTTACCTGTTAATTAATTCTGAATGATCCTTTTGTAATGCTTTTTTTATAGGGCATAGTCAAAGGGAAGTTGAATCAGTTGAGAATATGTTTTGAGATTTAATTATATACCCTGTGAATAATAAGTCATTTGTTTGGCTTCATCAAGTCTCTAATAAATGTTTTCGATTTAACGCTTGATTCTCTGGGGTTATTTCATTTGTAGGTGCAATTTGCAGCAGAGAGGGATCTCGTGCATGGTTAGGAGTATGATCGATGCTTTGGGAAACTGGTAGGCTTATAGTCCCTATTTTTTCAAATACATGCTTTAATTCAAGTATATTTCAACACAGATTCCACACAAAGTCCTATTAAAGGTCATTGACCGCCTTAGTTTCTGCATTTCTAAGAATGATTCCTGGTTGGAGCATCTCTTTCTTGTCAAGGTGCAGTAATTGTGCCTCGGTTCAAATTGTTTACGATCCCTGGACTTGGTAATTAAACATGGGCAGACTTGTTCTGTCATGTTAAAGGGGGCGTCACCATATGGTTCTTTTATCAATGACTTGGAATAATGAAATGCAATTTATGAAAACATGTTTTTTATTGATATGCATCTAAATAGTGGAGTTATTAAACTATTTGCTGCTTTATGTTCTGGTTAAGAAGATGTTGGAGAAATGATATCTCGATGAGTCCTTTCAATTGATGTTGTATTCATGAACATCACCTTCTACATTGCACTTTATGATATTTTACCTTTAGCTAACCCTAGGGGCAACCTCACGTGGTTTCAAGACAAATCACAATTTGTAGCCAAGAATAGGGATGCAGAAGGAGGATAAGCAGTTGAGGATTCATGTTGAATGCACTATTGGAGAACTTGGCATCATGATGCAACCAAATACTGAAGTATGTTTTAATAACCTCCCGGTGGACAAAACCAAAGAATTTGAGTTTTGTCTTGCGTTTTGCAATCAAGAGGATCTTCTTAAAAAAATCAATTGAGATGTGCTGGGGACTTCTATGAAAAAGGGGGCTTCACTTTCCATCAAAGTATTTGTCCCATCATTCATCCAGTTATGTCATTCAATATCCCACAAGATGTTGAGACAGGGATTAATGCAGGATGAAATGTTGCTGAAATCTCATCCATGATAAGTTGCTCATTTTATTGCCACATTTTGGTGGTCACACTGAACATTGGGTAGTTTGAATAAGATGGTGAAAATCAAATTGTCATCTGTTCGCTGTGTGGCTTCTACAATTGCATATTCTGTTGGCAATAATGTGTTGGGATCTATTGGTTAGCTCGAGTGGCTAGTGTTCTCTGCTGTGTACATCATGTGATTTCGTTCTCTGCTTTGGATTTTCTGAAATTGTTGTGTGCACATTAATTTCACCAAAGCATGAATTTTTTTCTGTAAATCCCGTTTTAATTTGGTCCAACCCCCCCGTAAACTCCTTATGTTTATTGTCCTTGTGAAGCCGGTGTGGAAGGATGTCACAGCTATTGTTTGCAACTTTCAGGTTAGCCACTTCAGACAATGTGCTTTCCTTGATTGAAGAAAAGATTGACTGCGCTAGTAAAATGTGTCAGTTGAACATGGATTCACCAGCAGGAACTCCAAGGTAGAATTGATGAAGGAAAGAAAAATATACATTTTAAGGTGTAAGCTGAATATGCATTCTACTTTGTGAGTTTTTCCTTGCTCTTCTGTTGTAATTTGACTTCTAAATTTCTGGCTATCAGTGATCCCTGTGGCATTGGAGAACCAACCATGAAAAGTAAAAGAAACTTTGGTTATGTTAAATGTTTTAAGTTCATCTCTTCATAAGTTTTAAGCAGACACATTTCATTTTATATAACATACAACAAAGCAGTTCTTACCATAAAATTTCCAGAATATGTGATGAGGAGGAATTCGAGTGCTGTGGTTTTAGTAACCCTGAATCTTGAGCTGTATGTTCCTGCAAATTATTTCCATTGAGATAATTTCTTATTAACTGTTATATGGTCCCTTTTTTTATTTTTGGCTGGCAGAAATCACAGCACAAGCAGGACCTTTGTTTCTTGGAATATGGTGATAGTTTTGACTTTCTTGGTGGACCAATGGAACATGAAGGGATCTCATGCGATCCAAGAGGTAATCCATCTTAAAGTTGTGTTCTATATTGTATGCGATTAGTCATTCATTTCAGGCAAACAGTAATCTCCATTGATATTGTTGAATACATGGATGGGGAATTAAGTTGATTAACGAGGCAACTAAGCAAGTTTTTTTTGTATGAACTGTAGCCTATATTCATGCATCTGAGCCTCAGAAAACCCAGATTTCTCGTCCTCTTGTGGCTGAAACATGACAGTAAGCTGGCTGTCTTTCTTCATCAGCTTGATCCTTGACATTGGTGGATGTGAAATATGTGCAATTAATGAAACAAAAGTGGCACCATGGCCTTGTTTCTCAATTAAACCTTTCTGATTTCATCTTATACGAATTCACCATCTTAGTGAAGTTCATTGATATGTCTACTCAAAAAGAAGAAATGCAGCGGCGTAATCACCATCTTCTACATGTTCTTCACTATTCATCAGGTTTACTTCATATAGATTGCATGTTTTCCATTCTGTCTTTACTGATTCAAGCTTGTTAATTTCCAAATCGCAGGAGACAGTCACCGCACAGTTAAAGGCGAAGAAGATCGCTGCACCCTTGATGTGTCTCCTGGTGGTAAACCAAGTTGCTCATGGCATATTAGAATCAGGAATTATCCAGCTAGAATCAGAAATTTGTCACCATTTTCTCTCCTTTTAAAAAAAAAAAAATGAAGTCACCGGGGGGGGGGGGGGGGGGGTTTTAATTCAAATTTAGTGCAGATTCGTATCTTTATCTCAAAGCAAGGATGTTGGTTTTTATTGTCTTTCTGCATGCATGTCAATATATTTCTAAAACCAGCTGCTGATATTTCAAAACCAAAGCCATTGAGTTTGCACTGATTAATTTTATGCAATTTGAAGTTCTACTAAATGCTGCGGTGGCTACAACAAATAAAATTAATAAACAAAAAGGTTAAGACTAGAAATATCCAAAAATAGAATGAAATGTTTCCAATTTCCGTTGGAAGAGATTTTACATCAAAATCACAAAATAGCAAAACTCTATTCACAAACCTTTTACCCCAGTTAGCAGTAATTGTTTTTCCCACCCCTAACAGTTTCAACATTATGGAAATCACCACAATGTTAGAGACTCTTTCACTTTCAAACATTATCTAGATAACCAACATTTGCTCGCCATGGGTACCCACATGACATCCAACCCCATTCCCAATTTCCAACCCAGCTTTAGCCACAACTGTAGCAGCACCCGCCGTGCCACCAGCCTTCTTCCTCCTCTTTGGTGACCCGCTGTCCACCGACGATGATGGCTCCGGAGAAGACCTCTTCGAAGTCACTCTAACCGGATCAGGCTCACCGGAATTCACCCTCAACGGGAAATTCAACAACGCCCTCGACCCACGCATTCTAAAGGCAGCACGATCGTATGCCAACGCCGCATCCTCCGCCGTCTCGAACGTCCCCAACCAAACCCGGGCCCCGTTCTTCGCTGGGTCCCTAATCTCCGCTGCGAACTTCCCCCAAGGCCGCTGCCTCACACCCCGGTAATGCTTCCCCTTGGACGGAAGCACCGCAGGCTCAGCCACTGGAACCGCCGCGGAGGGCGGAGAGACAGTCAGATTCTCTGTGGGTTCCAATTTCACTAGTGGGAAATTGGGCTGCACCAGTTGATCGGTTTTGAGTGATGGGACCCACCCAACGGTGACGGCGTCGCGGAGGACAGCATAAAGGAACATATCCTCGGAATCGTCGACCTTGAGTGGCAAGTCTCCCCAGTTTTCTGTTAAGCAAGGATACAAGCTGCTGAAGCTTGTGCTCCTGCAATAAACATGGGGTGGAGTACAATTAGCAGCTGGAGCAGCCGTCGTCGTTGTAATTGCTGGAGTGAAGCTGCAAGCAGTGGTAGGAGCAGTAGAAACAGTTTCGCCTTGCAAATGCAAGCGAACGGAATCAAGAAAGGCATAATCAGGCTGATCAAGTAAGCTCTGCCCGTACATTATCAATCACTCCTTAATTCTTGTTCAAGCTTTGAGGAGAGGCTTAGAGGGTGCTGAGTAAAACTGTGGGTTTTGAAATTTTGTATTTCTTTCCTGATGGGGATTTTCTGGGGATATATAGGGACGAAGGTGCATGAACTTAGGGGAGGGCTAGACTAGACTTTTCAAAAATACTAATAAAATTGCAGGTGGGGTTGCCGTTTATCCTTTGTGGGCGTGATGGTGGCTTCGGAGGAACCTGCCTTTTTTTCTTTGAAGTTTCTCTAAAAATATCGGGTGCAGTTTTAGTTCACGTGTTTAAATTTGCGATATTTGTTTCGGTCTCGACCTCTTTGATGAGCGAAGGGATGATGATGTCATCTGTAGTCTTAGAGCAGCAAGTTGTCTTTTGTCTCTTTCTCCATCTCTTGTTGTCTGCCTTGTGATCGCCGACTACTATATTTTTTTATTAAATATTAAATAATTGTTGAGTAATGGATTCTCGAAATCCATAGTTGAGTAATATATATATATATATAGTATGATCCATGGATATCCATTAACATCCCAAGTCATGTGGGGTGGTGTACGGCTCTCTCTTTTTTTAATTTAAACAATTTATATTTATCCCAAAATAAGTCTTTAAGTGTTTGTTTAACACTTAAATAAGGGGTGAAAAAAACTCAAATAATACATAAAGTAAAGGCTGGAGTGGTTGTTCGGAGGAGCAAAAACTCGGATTTGAAATTGTTTTAGTGAAGTGAAAATAGCTCAAAGAATATTGGAACTACAAACATTGTTCTCAAGACATAAATTTCAAGTGAAACAATGAAATGGAGTAATATGGTTAAGTTGGTGGTGCTATTTGTTGATTTTGAGTAAGTTTTGGGAGTGTGATTCAGTTGCAATTCTAAATTTTTTTGAAAATTTATATTTTTTATTAAAAAATAATTTAAAAAATAATTTTTATAAAAAAAAATATACCCTTTACTTGGTAAGTTAATAAAATCACATTTGATCAAGTTTTTTCCATACACGTACAACTTGAAATATTTACAATCAACATCCATCCTAAACTCTAGCTTTGTTATGTCAGACGAGGGAACAACCTTGTCCATTGGTATAGACAAAACCCACATTATATAACTAAAAAAAAATAAAAATAGGGCACATGTATGATCATGGGATGATCAAATTTATTAGCTATCTCACATATGACATGAACCCAATAAAAATTAACTTGGATATCATTCAATCAAATTAAAAAACAAAAAAAAAATCTAACTCAATCGAATAGAATGATACTAAGTATTCAATGAATTAAGTGAAATTATCACCCTTAATTTTAAAGCTTCAAGGGTTAAGGAAAAAATAAATAAAAAATTATCAACTCATTTTATATATACACACACATCCATTAACTTCAAAATAAATTTTAGAATTGAACTCGCCTAGATTGATTTAGTTAAAATTCAACTATTAACTTCTTAATTTAATTTTTTTAATTTTAATTTTATTAAAATAATATCATCTAAAAAACCCGATCACCTTTTAGTACATAATCAAAAAATTATCTTGAAAACTTATAAATAATTACATATACAAATATTTTAATATACAATATAATGTGAATTTAATATAAATTTAACATCATCTCAAGTAAATTATTAAGATATTATTTCAACAAATTATTTGATTTAGAATGTTGCTTAAACAACACTACCTAAACTATTACAAGTCACATGGAATAGATATATAACCAAAAGGGTAATAAGGGTATTTTGAATATGAAAAAGTTCATTTATACAATATCTTCGATCTGGATATACATGTTCACTGATGACTAGTTTTGCTTGCTCATCCTGATTTTTCTTCCTAGACTTGTCAAATGATTTTTTCTCTCATTGACTACCAAATAGACCAAAAATCAGTTGATTATTATTTTTAAATACAAAACAACCATTAAAATACAAAAAAGAATAGGAATACATTTGGAAAACTTCAAGGAATAAAAATCTTTATCTAGAAAAATAAACTAAAAATATAGAAAAAAAAAGAGATGAAAAACTCGAAGAACACGGGGTGCCAACAATGAATAAAAATCTACAAAACAATACGAGTTTTTCATAGAATTATTTTTTGAGTCCTTTTATTTTTAATTTTTATATTCTTCAACTATTTATTTATTTATTTAATTATAAATATTTAGATTAATTTACGTGTGTCTTTATTAATTATTTAAGATTTTAAAATTAATAAATTAATAAATCTTTAATAATTTTAAAAATTTAAAAATTTAAATTAATAATTTTTTAAAAAATAAATTCAAGATGTAACCTACTCCTCATATTTTCTTCAATTATTTCTTATTTCCATTTGATGGGGTTTTTTAATTTTATTTTTATCCATGCTTTCCAACCCCCCCCCTGAAATTAAAAGAGGAAGAATCAACCCTAGAAATTAAAAGGACGGGAAAAAAACAGGAGGCAGCGTGGACTCATGGGCGACCAGGGTGGAGAAAAAAGCACGAAAGAAGCCATTGTTGTTGCAACAGGGATCCATCCGTCCTGGACAAGTTATAAAACTTTCCATGGATGCTGATAAGGCCCTCAAAAAGTCGATTTTCCATCAAGATCATCAACACCTGAGCATGGTGACCCACCACTTCGTCGTCAGATCGCACTCCCTCTCCCTTCAAGTTACCTTCAAGGAAGGCGTGTATCTCATATGGATGCTGACCCTTTTCCCCACCTTTTCCCCCTTCCCCTCAAGGACGGCTATCTTAAATTCTTGGCCTTGACGTGGAAGTGGGAGTGGAACCACCGGAGTCCCACTCTCACCAGAGTCGTACTTTTTCGATATTATTGGTGCTTTTTGTGGGCCGGGGCCGATACCGGTTGGTGTTATTGGCAACTTGTGGCCACTCATTTTCCTCGTTAAAAATAATAATAATAATTTTCTCAATAATTCTTTTCACTTCATTTGTTTTCTCCTGGACCAATTTTGAGAATGCCTTGATTCTCAATGATCTTATACCGTCCGTGGCCAGTCCTGATTGACCAGACACAGTGAAAATGTAGTTATATTTTTACCATTTCCGATAAAAAATGGTTTCTGTAATAATAAAAGTAAAGTCGTAGAAAATCTTTTTCTCTCTCGCAGTTCGGTGGTGGCTTTTGATAGATCAACAATGTCCCTTTTTTTTCCAGGGAAAATATGACCGCAAATAGATTTTCAATGCCCAATAATGGCGAGAACTTCAAGAAATCGGCCTTGACAAGATACATCAGCAATACAAAAGCTTTGAGGCTTCCAGATTCGGTCAAATGTGTCTGAATTCTTGACTTCCTATTGTAAGTAACCATACCAATCCCCATTTGGTCCGGCGACCACAACATGCGTGCGCGCTTAAGATTTGTACGAAGTTATATTTTAGAGTATTTTTTATTTGGAAATATATTAAAATAATATTTTTTATTTTTTAAAATTTATTTTTAATTTTAACATATATAAAATGATGTAAAAATATAAATTTAAAAAGATATTATTTTATAAAAAAAAACAAGTTTAAATGAAGCCTAGACAGGACAAAAGAGCAAGCGCAAGCAGTTTTGGTCCCGGAAACTATCCTGAACAATAATTTGGCAAGTTGCCAATAATTCCACATAAATAACTCTCACACCTTCACGTGTTTTAATTAGGAGGCTGCTTGGATCCTTCTTGCCGTCTATTTGACGCGAGTT